TAAAAACAACATTATCAGAAATGATTAAATGCACCAAAATGATAAAAGTTGATTTTTCTTTCTATTCCCCTCCCCTCTTAAAAAAAACAAAACCCAACAAACCAGCCAACCAACCAACCCCCCCCAAAGAAACCTCAAACAAAAACCCAACCAAATCACCACTTTAGAAATGTGTTTGAATGAGATTTTGTTTCAGAAGGTGTTTACAGAAAGCAAATATCATAAACCCCCCAGATGTTCATGAAGATATTCATGCATAGCAATAGTTGTCATGTGGTTCTTTCGTAAAATGTTTACTTTTCCCATGACAAGATGATACCTCTGCATATTCATAGTTTTGAGGGTGTTATTGCTAGAAACAGCTTTCACAGGCATAGACACGATCGTTCAGATAAGAAGCAGAAATAGTACTACATGTATGAGGTAAACAGCAAATATTTTTGAACATGTGACAGACTAAAATGACAGTGAAAACAGAATAAATACGTGATAATTACAGCTGGTTCCAGATAAATTCTTGTGTGTTGTCACATTGAGGAAAATAATGTCAAAGTTGCATTTTCTACTGAATGAGTTGTTCACTGGGAACATTTCTCCTGCCTGTTCAACAAAACATACTTTTAATGAGTGCTTTGGCAGGAAATTTTCTTTGTGCTACTGTCAAAGATATTATTTTTCATTGAACTTGATGAGTGTCTGATAACAAAGTACCAGTTGGAAGTGTTAGCTTGTGCTTTGAACAACAGCACTTTCCAGGAAAGATGGATTCATCCTGAAATTGGTGTTATTTGACAGCTGGCTGAATAATATGTCTTTGAGTCTTATATCCTCATGGCAAACAATTTTCATTATATTCTATGTGAGACTAGAATGTCAGGATGCCTATTCTGGGAAGTGCTCAAGACAGAAGATGATTTTGATAGTGTAATGGTAAATTTGAACAAGGAGCTTGCTTTACTTTTAGACATTGCTGCTACTTTTTACTCATAGACATAATTCTTTGTCCTGGCTTTCTTCTGGGGTTTGTCTTATCAAACAGTTATACAGAATTGTACATGGCAACCAACCTATCTGTTAGGTACAAAAAATAGTACATTGGTGACTCATCTTTAGAGGTGTGTTTTCAACTAAGGAAGTGGTGGCATCAAACAGTGGTTCAGTAGGAGGACCATCAAAACGCAGTTGTCATTAGCACTTATGCTTAGGATGCTCTTTTTCCTGCTGTAAAATTTGCAAATACACAGTCCCCACTCCAGTGCAGCAGTGCCCAGCTGGTGACTGGAGGTATGTGGACAAGAAGGCTGTAAGTTCTGGGTGGTTGTTATAGAATAACATATTTTTATGTTAATAGACTTCATTGCTCATTATTTTGTACTCAGTTCTTATGATAAAACCTCACTGAGCCCTTGCATTTCTTTAAGGTTTAAGTATGTGATACATGTTTCAACAAAAGCTCAAAGGTTTGAAGAAGCAAAGTAGCCTCAAATTTTGAGCTTCCAAGTGAAAATTTTAACAAAGCGTGCTTGATATGTGTGTACCCTTGAGGACTTTGGACAAAATAGTTCTTACCTTTATGATTTCATTGCTTTAATTTCAATTAAAAAAAAAAAAAAGCACCCAGAGACATAGTACTTGCTGTAGATATCATGTTTCACTGTCAGTGTCTGTGCTTATAGTGGCTCACATGGTTTTTCTTAACTAGGCAAAGTGATGTTGCTGTTAATGAAAAATATTTGAAGTAACATTAATTTTCTTCCTTTTTTTTTGTTTTTCAGTGGGGATTTTTAAGTGCCTTTTTACAGACATCACTGCCCTAATGATATATTTTGCTTCACTTCTCAATCTCATGTAAATTCTGAATGATTCTGTATTTCAATATAATGACCACTACCCTTACAATCCAATAGCGTATCAATTCTTACCAGTTTCTTGAAGACTGACTTCCTTGTCTTCAGGTATGCAGAGTATACTTCCTTGGAGTTGTGCCTGATTTCTAGGAGTTAGAGTTTCCTCCGGAGATACTGCAGATCCTGTGGTTATCACATACCTGCTGGGGGCAGGAGGAGGCTGGGAAATTGGCTCCTGTTTCATCCAGTTCTTCCCCTTCCCCTCCCTGTAACACATTTATCACAATTTAGGTAGTAATTTTGAAATTGGCTGATGTAAAGCAGTTTTACCATAATCTGCCATTTGTAAATCAGGTAATCTGGTGTGATAGAGCATGTAAAGCAATGTCAGTTCCTTAGAAGTTGTAAAGACAACCTCAGCAGCTGCTGTTGGGTTTTGAGGTTGGGCAATGAAGTGTGCTATTTCACTGCTGTATTCTGATCCAATACTTTCAAGAACTAAACAGCTTTGCTTGTAGATAGATTTTATTGATGTTTCATAATGTTTAGTGATGCAGAGTCAGAAAGAGAGCCTCTTTTTTTGTGCATCTTGGAAACCTTGTGCCACGCAGTTGTGGATTTGTGCAGCTTAGGCGGTTTGGCCTGGTGGACTGTAGATGTTAGGTATGATACACCCAGATAGGAGTTTTAAGGAAAGAAGCAATGTGGAAACTGGTCTTTTAGTTGCCACTGGGAGTCTAGATTTTAAAGTTATTTTTAATAAGAACTGTAAGCTCTGTTCACTGTCACAACAGTAAGCTCTGTTGTGACAAGTTCAGCCCCAGGAATTACTTGGGAGATGACATGACCTAAGTCCTTCAGGTCTGGGCACCCTGCCTTCACTGGGCAAAAATAGATGGCAGAATGCACACAGTAAGCAATTCACTTCTTCCTGCCAAAGTACATGTTTGCGTCCCTAGCGTAGTGTAGAAAACACAGCATGGCTGATGCATTGCCACAACTATTTCTGAGATTTTTGGCTTTGTTTCCTTCATAAATTTTAGTGTTTCATGAGAATAGCAGGACTTCATCATTGATTAGCTGTGTGCAATCATCTCTCATTTGTATTGATTAGGAGAGCAAGGCAGTCAGTAGCTTTCAGATATAGGTTGCTGTAATTTCATCCTGTTTGCCCTCGTGCAACATAAACAATAACACAGTAACAGTTGTTATTATTATGTATGCCTTGAAAGATGAAAGGAAATCCAGCAGTCTCCCTGAAGGACTCTGGAATAATATCTATGACATCTTTTATGACATCTTACTTAGCAATTAAGTATTAATTAGTTTTGGCTCTAGTTTTGCTTGCTTCTAAAGAAGGTGTCTCTATGGCAATCTCAGAAATTCTCAGTAGAAACTGACACGTTGAGGAAGATGGTAATTATTTTGTGTGTTTATTATATAATGGGAAAACAGATGTAGAAGTCTGGTTTTCCTTGTAATAAAAGAAGCAATTATAACAAGAAAAAAAACTACTCATTTTATTAACCTAAATGTATGTAATCTCTTTATTAGTATTATTAGTTTGGAAAATTTAATAGACATATTTTTGAAAGATTTTAAAAGTTTACTCTATGGTGGTTTGTTTTTTTTTTTTTCTGAGCTGTAGCAACTGACTGGTACTGAAGACAGCCTGAGCAGGGACTTTATTACGGCAGTGAGCCAAAAAGTTAAGTCTCTCATGTAACAAAATCTCTTCCGACAGAGGGCTCAATTCAGAAAGCATCCAGAATTCAGACAGGGTTGCTCAGTAGTGAGAGTGATCCGTGGCAATGGGAATCACTCAGATGAGGGAATGTGACACTCATTGAGGCACTTCAGCCCCTTCTTCATTCTCCCAGGAGCATCTGCATGTTCCTGGGAATGTGGGTATTTGAGCTGGCACTTTGCATCTGCTTTCTCCTGCCGCTCTTAAGTCCTCCAGCAGTTACGTCATTTAGGTTGCCAAAACAGACCTAAGGGTGCCTCTACATGTTTGTTTGAATGGTGATAGCCTTACCAACCTCCAGTGGGTTGATCATCACCTAGGGATAGACTGCTGGGAGAGGAACCTCCATTCCTCCAAACCTTATGAACTTGCCCAATGGAGTTTGACCTTGCTCCTCAGCACCAACAAGTATAACAATTTTGGGAGAAGTCAGGTGTTTAATGTCTCCAGTCACAGTCAACAGTCTTTTCTCTGTACCTTCTTCTATCATGGTATCAGGCAGCCCAAGGTGAGCATGTTAAAGTGCTGGCTTGTTTTTGAAAGGTCCTTGTACCCTGTCAGCTTCTTCCCATCTCTCCCTGGGGTCACACACACAAACTTGCTTGGGTTTCTTTCTGTTTTTCTGCCTCAGACTTGGTACTTGTGCAAGCTACTTGAAATCACCAGTGTGGTAGGAAAATAACCTGGCTAAACCCAATCATACTGTTTTCTGCTTGGCTGCTAAGTTGAATTGATTGCTGGAGTCAGTGCCACACTCATTGCAAAGGAGGGCGTGAAGCTGGGGGTTGGGATCAAAGACAGGAAGAACAAGGGGCAACAAGCCATTATGTCACTCAGCTGTGTGTAAAGCTGCAGCACTGCATCTTTTTCCCACTCCTTCATTTCCTTCCTACTACCTAGTCCAGCTAATAACTTGGGCATGCAGAGTAATTGTTTCAGCATTTGATTTCACTGTGCAAAGGAGAAAGCAAGCTGAAAGTCAGATGCCTTCTTACTTGACGTCTGATATTTCTCTATTATGATAATAAAAGATGGTTTTCGTGCCTTTGCATGTTCTGTCATGGTAAACAGCTGTGCCACCAGATTTCATGGAGAAGTAAAATAGGTTTCAATTAAATTATGGAACTTTTTGCATGAAATTTCATGGAAATCTTTGAACTTTTATTTGTAGAAACTGTGACAGGGTTTATGTAAGTAAGTATTAATTAAAATATTCTCTTCTGTAATTTATTAGCATTATTATTTTGCAAGTTATAACTTGTAAAAAATGCATTCATCCAGGGTATACGTTATTAGTTGCCTTATTAAGAAAAAAGGACAGAAAAGTCACTACTTGGATATTAGCTGTACCCCAAGTCTCCTGTGACTTAAAAATGTAAAAATGACCAATCCTATCTCATATCATGCAGAACCACGTGTTGGAGTCACAGTGTGAAGTCTCTGAAAAGCTGACCCCCAGTATTTTGAGTCTGCACAACTGGGATACCAGCAGCTGAATCTGATGGTTTTGCATTTAAATGTGAGTATATATGATTTTAATAGATTAGGTCTTAAATATTACAGTTTTAGCTAGTTTGTGTATGTATTTGAAATATAACACCAAGTACTTAATGTTGCTCTACAACATATCACTATTTTCTCCCAGAAAGGTCACATTACTTATGTAGTGTAATATGTATGGGTTAATTATTATGTATATATCACTGTGCCATGTCTCAGTAGCATATTTGCTATTGCAAATAAAGCAACAAAAGTAAAACTGGGAATTTTGTCAAACTGAATGCAAAATACTCACTTGAAATCAGCTCCCTTTTTAGCTGGATACTTCAAATTATGATGGGTGACTTTTGACCTGCAGTGAATGAAACCAAGTCTTTGTTTATTCTGTCCTTAGACTGAGAAGTGTAACTCAAGTTGATCAATCAACTTGATCAAAACTTGATCAAAGTTGATCAAAAAAACAGCAGAGTAAAAGAGAAAACACTTTGCTTTTCAGGAAAGTGTCCAAAGAGGTCAAAATGTTGGAGAGGGAAGGTTGTTTTTTTTTTTTTTTTGTTTTGTTTTGTTTTTTTTGTTTTTTTTGTAAATTCACTGGTTCCACCAGTTACTAAGGAGTTATACCAAAATCCGAACTGTGGCAGATACATAACCTTTCCCCCAAATTATGCACATTGTTGACTATTACCTGGTCCAGTAACATGTAGGAAGAAATGTTTTGGGGTACCACCTACAGGTGAGTATAGTCAAAATAGTGCAAGAGGGAATAGATTTGCAAGCCCAGGAGTGGTTGAATAAAAAACAATGATGAAGAACAAAGCAGCTTGGCAGGTAAGGAACAGTGTAAAATATTAATAGCCAGGTTGAACATCAAGGAGAGGAAGAAGACACAAGACTTGTGGAACCAAGAGACTGGCAAGCTTTGTAGCCGTTAGATTTTTCAGAAACCGACTCTGTTGCATATAACTTCAAAGTCATGAAAGCCATCTAGGTCCAGGAATGCTTGATTTCCTTTCCTCTTCACTTTTTAAATGCCATCTTAAAATGTCAATTTAAATGGCATTTACATGAAATAAATAAAAATGAAATATAAACCTTCACAATCCTCAACAACAATAGTGTTATAGAAATTTGAATCGCATCCAAACTGCTTATTCAATATAAATGACATGGTGAAAAATAATTTGGAGCCCTTTACTAGTTCTGAAAATGGCACACTTGATTTACAGTTCTATTCCTTATAAAGCAATTCTAAAAATTTTATTCTATAACAACATAAAAAGTAGTCATTTAGTAGTTAAAATATTTAGTATGGTTGGGCCTCTACTATTCAAAATTAATGCCAAATCTGAGGTGATAGCTGAAATATGTTTGTAGAAGCAATGTGAAAGATAGTGGTTAGTTTAGGAGATTTATTGAATTTAATGGAAAAAATGCCACACATACAACCAGTGAGCTTATAAACATAGGGTTCTTTTAATAAAATGTTCAACTGTAATTACTTGAAAAAATATACTGGTTTTGTGTTGGAGATTCAAAAAAAAACATTTTGTTATGAAAGCTAGTTTCAGTCTAAATTTTTGCATTTTACAGAATAATGTAATTCATGTCAATAAAATTCTTGTTCTCAAAGTTGACAGTTAATTTTCAGGTACTGATGCAGAAATAGAGAGAAAATATACCTCAAAGTTTATATGTAAACACTCATTCTAAGCACATAATAAATGTTTATTAAAACTTATGCTTTGAGGTATGCTCCTTATTTAAATCGTATGGTATTTACTCTGTTCAATTCTTAAAACATTTCCTTGTCCATCTCCTGGAAATTACCAAGTAAGAAACTTAGTGTTTGATTGTGAATGCAAGCTGTTGTCTTCTGCCTTTGCTCCTTTAAGATTGTAAATTGGCTTTGAGAACAGCCTTCCTAATGTCTGCAAGTACTTCCTTGGCACCTCTGTGGTAGTTTTTAATATTGTCTAGCTTATTTTAAAATTAGAATTGACTCTTTCTTCCTGTGTTTCATTTGCTGGGCTATTCCTTTTGCTGTTGGTACTTTTTGGGTGTTTAAAGTAAGTAGACAGGTGAGACTGATTTTGGTGATAGAGGCAGTTACAATTAACATGATTCCTTTTTGTTGCTTTAGAAATGCTATGTGCTTGTACATATAAACCATTACTTGATTCATTGAGAATATGACTTAAAAAATGGTATTGTTAAAGGCAGTTGTAGTTGTAATTTTTGTGTGGGGTACAAGTTGATTAATTTGTGCTAAAAAAATAGACTGTTACCAGAGCTTCACAAAGCAATCAGGGGTTTTGGGGGTAGGAAATAGATTTATGAATTGGTCAAAAACTTCTCTTCTTATCCTGGCAAAAATTGTTTGAACTATTCATAAGAAGAGGAGCAACAACAAGATTTAATTCCTCTCCTAAAAGTAAGTTCGCTTTTGCAGATTGTGTAAATGAAGGATCCTACTAAGAAAAATATGACAAACACAGAAGTGTTTTTTAATAAGGTCAGACCTTTACAAAATCGTCTGCTTTTACAGTACGTATGTTTGGGGGAGGGGGGAAAGTAGAGAACAAAGGCAAAAAATGAACAATTTTTAAGGATGGTTAGTCAGTTAGTAGTGATTCTGTCAGGGCAGACAATTTCACACTTTGAAGCTAGAAAAGCATTCTTTCATACATTCAGCTGGAAAAGGAAGAGTTCATAAAAATCTTGTAAATAAAGTGGTACATACATGGTATGTAATAGCAGTGCTGAGAATATTTAACTAGAGACAGCCTTTTTGCTAGCAGTTGGAAGGAAGAATATGAGGAAGATTGACAAAGAACAAAGGAAAAATGAGACGCGGGAGAAGGAAAGATTAAAGAAGAAAAGAAAAGAGTCTAGCTTATCAGTTTTCTTTTCATGAGGAATAATCTAAGAATGAATAAAATTCTAGCTCAAAGAGGAAATATTTTTACATCACTTTAGCTCAGAGAAGAATACCCAACATTATTAGAAATTAATTCTGATATTATCTTTTGAAGGTCAAGTGAAATTGTGCTTTGGATATAGACTACAAGCCAGGCATGTTCTCTGTGCAATTAAAAGCAACAAGCTCTCCACTAAAGAATGTGAAAACTATTCAAATTAGCTTGGAGGAAGAATATACGTCTTCATTTTATTACAACACTATGTATTTCCAAGAGTAATGACATTAATCTCTAGCTTTGTACTTCACTTAGTTCTACAAAGATATATTGTCTGACTTAAAGAAAAAGACTAGAAAACGGGAACATGATTTTCAAGCTTTTTGTAAGTATAGGCAGCAGTTCACGGTTCCCCCCCATATTTATAAAAACAATGTAATAACTTCCATGAACATGCAGCATAGGAATATGCAGTTGGTAAATGAAATCATTTATATATTAAAAAAAAAAAGGATAGAAAGATTCCAATTAGCATGTTGTAATCTATATTGCACTTAATTTCTCTAAATGAACCTATGAACAACCTAAGCCTGTTTGGGCTTGGGGTGTTTTGGGTTTCTTTTTCTTTTTACTTTCCTTTTTCAACTTCTGTTCCTGCTTACTCACACCTCTCCCCTGTATTTCTAGGTGTGTTTTATGAAAATTACATGTTTTCATAATTTTAAATCTTAGGGTCTTAAATTCACCTCCCAGACCTAAATTAAGATCACCCTGTTTATTACAAAGGTGTTAAACTCCTGTGGCTCCCACAGAAGATGCTCAGTAGCGCTCAGCACTTCTGCAAATAAGTTACTGGGAATGTAGGCACTTTTGTTTTAGGTAGTTAAATATTGATTCAGAAGGTTCGAGTTAAGCTTTTTCATTTGGAAACATACCTTTTGATAGGCTCCTTAATTTCTACACTGTGCACTTTTATAGCTTACATGGCCCACTGGTGGGACTAAGCTATGTCAGGTGGTCAAGTAGGTGTTACTAGGGTACTGCTGGCTGATATGGTAAGATGCTGTTTCTCTTTAGAGTTGAGTGGTAAAAATCTAAGTTGTGCTACTATAACATCAACCTTTCCTTTGGTATATGCCATCACTGTAGCATTTCAACTATTTTAATTTCAAAATATCAACATAGCATTTGGTATTACATAGAATCGTAGAATAGTTAGGGTTGGAAAGGACCTTAAGGTCATCTAGTTCCAACCCCCGTACATAGAAAACATGGTTGAATTATTGCAGCAAATATAGAGAAAATGTTCCAGTTTGTGGAAAGGTTATTTGAAAATAAATATATAATTTATTTGTATGGGGGTGGGTGTTGTCAAGATTAAAAATAACTTTGGTTGAGAAACTATGTATAAGGGGCACTTAAAGTAATTAGGTTCTTGTTGATGTAACTCAGCTTCATACAGAGGCATTGAATTAACTGAGTCAGGGTATTCAAGGGTATAGAATAATACGTCATGTAGATCCATGTACAGATGTCCTGTTGTCTCTCCTTTCCTGCTTCACCCTCAGCAGCAAGGCTGTACCCAGACCTCTGACTGTGCTCACAACAAGCTTCCCTGTATGGCAGTTTTGTTTGTGTCCTTCAGCTCCAGCTGCCATAATGCAGGAGTTAAATGACATGGAAAATATTGTGTTGACCCAGCAGACCTGTGGGACATTCATGCAACTTGCAAAGGTCTAGCAAAGGGGCTGAGCATCTTGTAAAGTCCAAAGTAGGATTTTGGTGTGATTTACATTGGTTCACCAACTTCAAGCAGAGGTCGATTTTTAATGTCAGTGCAAGAAATCTGTCTTTGTCGTATGGAGAGAAATATTTCTATAACTCTTGGATCTTTCTCAGCTAAGTCAGGGTCTTCTGAAATGAGAATTTCAAAACTACACTTACTGCAGTATTTTATCTATGAATCTATAGTTGAGAATAATTTCCTTCTCTCGTTCATTCACTTAAAAAAACCAAACCAAACAAATCCACAAACAAACAAAAAAAAAAACAACCACCAAAATTCATCTGGGTAATAATAAATTAAATGGGTAAGTGGAATAAT